TTGATCTCTTTTCATCTTAAAGATCAACTCAGTGGGGGGTGGGGGCTAGAGAATACAGGGATAGTTTCTAAATCCTTGAAAAAGAATTAAAGTCTGTACAAAGTTTCTGCACTTTATACAACAAAAGTAGAGAGGACAAGAGCGGATTGAATGTATAATCTGCCGCATCTTACGTTATATTCACTTCTTAAGAGAGATTCCTTGTACAGTAAAGGTATTTTAAAAAGTAGGGTCTTCAGTTCGGAGATAGTCCGACGTTTCAGAGGAACATTTTGTCTTCATCTTTATGGACAAGAAGAAACCGGGATGCCGCCTGCCTCTATTGGTTTTTAGATTTCCGGTTGCTTCAGATGGTTTCTTGCTTATCTTATTCTACAGGCCTTGAAGATGGAAGCTATATGTTCCTCCGAAACGTCACTTAATTTTCAATGAACTACACCCGTTATATCCAAGAAGAAACTTTAATTTGTATTGTAGTTCGTATTGGTACAACGGATCTGCAGGACCATTTTATTCTTGTAGATTTAACATCAGAAGAGCAATGACTTCTGGGATATGACGACGTGTAGACTGGTAAAAGTTTACTGACGTTTCAGCGATAAGTGCTGACTCGTATCCTGAAGATGGAAACTGATGTTACTGTCTTCTGGGATATGACACTGTGTAGTCTATTAGAAGATTACCGACGTTTCGGCTATAGGTGCTGCATTCTATCCTGAAGATAGAAACTGAATATTACTGTCTTCTGGGATGTAACGCCGTGTAGTCTATTAGAAGTTTACTGACGTTTCGGCAAAGATGCTGCCTCCTATCCTGAAGATGGAAAATATTATTGGCTCCTTGGATATGACGCCGTGTAGTTTATAAGAAAATTATCAATGATTAAAGGAACATGTTGCCTCCATCAACCCTGACCAGAGAATCGGGACGTTTTCCTGAAATGTCAGTGAGCGTCCACCAGAACACACGGTGTCACACCGAAGAAAAATTTATCTTCAGTTTTATTGGATGTTGGGACAACAAAGTGAAGGGATAGTATGAAGGGTAGATGAGTTTTTCCGGGGGTGATCACAACCAAAGGAGGGGTGACGCTGTAAAAAGAAACGCTGGGGTAAACACAACAATAAGAAATCCAAAACCCAAATAGAACTGGGAAGGGAAGGGGGTGCAGACACTTGAGAATTAAACCCACAAGTTCCTCCACCGCCCTCAACTTACAAATATGACTTCTTTACAAGTTTTCAACTACCGGCAGCGGTTATTGCCGAAGAGGGGTCGGAACATAGGGGGTATCATTTTCTGTAAGGGGATGGATGAAATTTCCATCACGGGGAAAAAAAAAATCTACATCATACACGTGTGGCATCCTACATAACACCCTACTCCTTATTCATCCCTTACGAAAGATCTTCCTGGGTTCCAGATGCGCCCCTTTATGTATATGTGAATACATAGTTTCCGTTTCACAGTCTGCATAACGAGACATGACAGCAAGAAGAGCCACGCATGCGCATTGTGTATACAGGATATCTCCCCGTATTCAGAAGCGGAGAAGGAACGTCTGAGCATCCATGTTTGAAATCCCCCATACTAAATAACAGGAAGGAACATAAAGATGGCAAAACATTAAATTATTATGTTTCTGGACATTATGCACCGTCTTTCTGTTTTTTATTTAAAATACACAATTTTTGGAGGGCCGGTCACGGTAGCCGAGCGGTCAAAGGCATGTACTCTCTTCACTCGCTTGGAAGCCGGGATCGTGAGTTCAAATCCCACTCAGGCCATGGATGTTTAGTGTGTGTGTGTGTGTGTGTGTGTGTGTGTGTTCGTTTTTCTGTGTTTGTGTACAGGTAGAGGCCTTGCGACGAGCTGATCACCCGCCCAAGAAGTTCTACCGAATGTGTAAGATCTAGAAAAACCGAAGTGAACGGAGAAGCTCATGGAGGTAGCCCTAGGCTCACTGGGGCTGTAGTGCCAAGGAAAAAAACATTTTCGGAGACTGCATTATGTCTACCTCTTCAGATGGTACCTACTTAGTTGAAACCTATCGATAGTTCGTAACTAAATTCTCTTATTAAAGTACAATAGAACACCGATTATCTGAATCCCGATTATCCGAATTGTCAATTAACCGAATAAACGCAACCAAGAAATACGTGTCTTAAACAAACGCCATTATTTGGAATTTTTCAAGTAAAGCATTTAAAAATGTTGACTTCTAGTCATATTTAATAATTTTTCACTTGTTTAAAAGCTTTCTAGTTTTTATTATTATAATTTTCTTTTCAAATGGCTCCACAGCCCCCTTGGGCACTGACCTCTGATTTTCAGACGGTAGGACTCCTTGAGAGGGTGATCAGCTCGTCGCAAGGCCGCTACCTAAACACAGGACAACATAAATAAACACAGAATAAACACATGCCAATCACCCATGCCTTGTGTGGGATCCGAACCCACGATCCCGGCTTCCGAGCGAGCGAAGACAGTGCATGCCTTAGACCGCTCGGCTACTGTGACCGGCAGTGTATAAGAATAATATATAACAATTCAGTCCGTACCTCACAGAAAACACATCCGAACCCACGATCCCGGCTTCCGAGCGAGCGAAGACAGTTCATGCCTTAGACCGCTCGGCTACCGTGACCGGCTATATTATTATAATACCATAGTAAAATATAAAGTTGTCCCTATGCTTAATTAAATAAGCACTAAGCCATGGAGGCGTTTCGGGGCGTGGAATTATATATCTACGTTTTCTTGACCTCGGCATTAGTTGGAAGTGAGTGGTCAGCTTCACGTCCCTGCCACTTTACTCCCGGGGAAAAAGCCCCCGTTGAGCATTGGCTAAGAGGCTGGTTTGGACCCAGAGACGGTCTGGACGATGTGAAAAAAGAAATAAATTTCTTGACACTACCGGGACTCGAACTCCGACCCCTCGATCATGTAGCCCGTAGCCAGTCGCCATACCGACTGCGCTATCCCGGCTCCATAATACCATAGTACACTTTATATTGTTATAATTATGTTTTATGGAGAATAATTTAATCCAATTATACGAATTTTCGATTATCCGAACCACCTTCGTCACTAATTATTTCAGATAAGCGGCGTTCTACTGCACGTGGTTTAATAACGTTAATATTTCTGAAATGTCATCTACCGTCATTATGTAGAATTTGAGGTTCTCACACCGGCTGTTAAGAGCAGATCTATCTTCTGGGGTACAGCGATTCTTAGACCGTTGGAAGTCAACCATCATTTTGGAGGAACATGTGCTCTCCCAGCAAGATAGTGGCGTGAATGCAGGTGACAACCAGAGCGATCGGACTACCGAATTTTCGGATTGTGCAGAGAGCAGCAAGTCAGTTGGGGCGAGACAACTGGAATTGACTTTCTGGTTTTTTTGCTTTGTTTATTCTTCGACCCTGAAGATGGGCAGCCTGCTTCGTCTTCAAATATGAAGCATCTCTGTCAATTTAGTAACGTGTAGCATCTCTGACAATTAAGTAACTTGAAGCATCTCTGACAATTAAGAGCAACTTGAAGCATCTCTGACAATTACGAACAACTTGAAGCATCTCTGACAATTACAAACAACTTGAAGCGTCTCTGACAATTACGAGCAACTTGAAGCATCTCTGACAATTACGAACAACTTGAAGCATCTCTGACAATTATAAGTAAACTTACTTACGCAGATTACCAGCCTGTTGCAAAACGCCCTATCTTGTAGGGAAAAAAGGTAAAGCTATTCCTGTAACAGGCCGTGGAGGCCCATAGGGTTGTGAGACGTCGAGGCTTCCACATTTTCTAGACAATCGGCTCACAGATGGCGATGAGGTTGTCAGCCTTAGGCGCTGGTCGCCCTTTACCCCCAGGAAGATTCCTGGTACTCGTTTCTGTTAGAGGCTGAGTCGACCCCAGGGTCATAGTGCTGCTGGAAGGATTAGGTCAATTGAAATTCCAATGACTTCATCGGGAATGGAACCCGCATCCTTCTGGCTTGTGGCACAGTGTCTCAACCAACTATCCTACTGCGTGCCGCTTATCTTTGAGGACCAGGTTTTTATTCAGGATTTCCGGCCTACCGCAACCAACGAGTCCTGTCTATCTGCAACGTAACTCTGGGATGGGGGCCTTACGGGGTGCTACCTGCGGGCCAATGAGGCAGGGTCGCCCCTTCCTCTACAGTCAAATGTAAGTTAACATCGAAGCATATCCAGTAGCTTGTTTCCTTATAAATTACATGATAAAACTGTGACACGTTTTAGTCATACAAATATACATCTTCAGGCAGTGTGCCATATTAAATATACCTCAATATTTCATCCACAAAGAAGCAGATCGAATTAACAGAGCTCCAACTTATCGACATCTAAAAAACCGAGTATGAAACAGCAACATACCATATAGCACTACTTACCGTTATAAACACAATTACACGAACTGTGGCCTACATCAATTAATTATAACATTAATGTAATTTTAACTTCACTCTTCACTCTTTGTTTGTAGTTTCTAGGCGTACAGCTCAACCTTGAACATGGAGGCAGTACATTCCTCCGAAACGTAAACAAAACTACCAGATTACACGGCGTCATGTCATAAAAATATAGTACTCTTCAGATGTGTATAGTAGCTTGCATTCGGCCTCCTAAACCATGAATATAGAAGCATTACATTTCTCCGAAACGTAAACAAAACTGCCAGACTACACGGCGCCATATGCCAAAAGTTTCGCTTTTTTCGGAAACGGCTCTCCATCCAAGCAGTTGACCTGTCCCGCACCTTACATACGCGTTATTAAGATAATGACTATATATATCAAGCAGCACTTTGGCTCATTAAATGTTAAATTATTCTGCTAGGGGTGAGTTGTGGGTGGAGAATGGAGGGGAAGGGTGGTGCTCTATCGTAATGCCGTCATCGAAAACTTGCGGTGTTACATATACTCCCAAAGGGACCCCTCTCACAGGAAACAAAATTTTCTCTTTCAGAAATAACCTTTACTGACAGCCCGTGTGCGCACCAATGGGCTGTAATCCTCACAGCACTGTGCGGCCCACACACACTGCCTAATCCCAGCTTCTCTACAATCCTGACAGCATTATTCCACAGTTAAAGGTAAGGTTGTCTCTCCGCTTATTTAATTACACACCCCGCCATGAAGACGTATGGAGGAGTGTAGGTATAGTTCCACCATTATTGACTTCGGCACTAGATGGAGGCGAGTAGTCAGCTTTGCGCCTCGGCCGCTTTACTCCTGCAGAAATAGCCCCCAGGTATTAACTGGATAGGAGGCTGGGTGGGCCCCAGAGCCTCAGAGATGGTGGTGAGGTTATCAGCCATACGCGCTTGAAACCTTTAACCCCCAGGAAGATTCCTGGTACCCATTTCTGTTAGAGGCTGAATCGACCTCAGGACTACAGCGCATCTGAAAGTATTAGGCCAACTGAAAAATCCAATGACCTTATCGGGAATCGAATCCATGACCTTTCGGATTGTAGCATAGTGCCTCAACAAACTACGCTACCGTGTGCTGCCAACACAAAGGTAGTAAAAAAAAGTAAAGCTATCCCCGTACCATGCCGTGGAGACCCATAGGGTTGTGAGACGTTGAGTGTCCCACATTTTCTAGACAATCGGCTCACAGATGGCGGTGAGGTTGTCAGCCTTATGCACCGGCCGCACTTTACCCCCAAGAATATTCCTGGTACTCATTTCTGTTAGAGGCTGAGTCGACCCCAGGGCCATAGAGCGGCTGTAAGGATTAGGTAAATTGAAAAAAAAAATCCTAAAGTAACTACTGGGCTTTGAAAAGTTAAGTAAATAAACAACATTCCGTGTTGTAACTTCATGGAGCCTTGATAAGTTGTTCAGATGTACGGCAGGCAAAACACGCGTCAGTTGTAATTACTGTCTTAATTATGCCAATATTCTGACTGTATCTGCAGATTTATAATGCTGTAGTGAGTTTCGCCAACTGGGCACTAGCCATTTGAAATGGCTATTTTTGTAAGAACACTGACGTAAAAATGGCGTTTCAATTATTTAAGAAGGTCATGACTTTAAAACGTTCTTTTGTTCAATTACGTCTTAATATATTACATTCGGTTTTTAGAAGCTTCAGAGTTTTAAGTTGAATGTTTTTCATTTTGCTGTTTCACGTTTTGTCTATGTATCTCTGTCCTTCACCTTCCGTTTTCCACGTAATAGACACAAGCCGTTTCCAGTGAAATTGATTAAATGGGTGACCTTGAAACTGTACTGGGGCACTGTCAAATGTCTGCAGTGTTTTGAACGCTGAGTATCAATTCTAGTACACATTTCTATACTGAAGATGAGGCAGCACGTTCCTTCGAAACTCTGATAACTACCTATCGGACTACACAGCATCATATCCCATTGGAGGCAGAGCCTTAAATCTCATTTAGGTCTCGAAGGCCGGTAGCAACTTAAGCGACAGATCGGCCTTTAAAAGAGCCATCTTTGTGGGCTGTAGACTCCCAGAGCCGTCAGACGTGATGAGTCCTGTGGGATTCGGAACCAAGAATTGCTGTACTGGCGAGGGCCATCATCAATTTAGCAGTCCATCAGTGACAGAGAGAGTAGCGGAGTGTCTGAGTAAGAGCGAGCAGAGTAACCCCCCTTCCCAGAGGGGGGTAACCAGTAGTGTTTAGATCTCTCCTCCCTTCGAAACACGTAAAACTATGCAAAAAAAACAAAACAAAACAAAAAAATGATCATGGGTCCCAACAGGGCCCGAACACAAAAATGACTATGCTGGCGAGGATCAGCAGTAATTTATTGGATTGGATTGGACTGGAGTCTTCAAGGGGTTACAATATATATCTCGTTTGCCTTGCAATATAGCTTCACACATTTTTAGCTTACTTATCCCTTAGGCCTATGTTCCATTAAGATTCGTGGTCGCCATTACAACAGATGCCAATTCTTCTTTATTACTCGCTCTCGTAAATCATTCTCTTAATGCCCGCTCTCGGATGACTCTGGGTTCTTAACCTGGCCAATATCAGTTCCACTTTTTCCACGCGCTGTTAACTGTCCTTGATACTTTCTTTGTCTGCTTCATCGGTTTGTCCTTCAACCCTGAAGAAGGAGGCATTGTGCTCCTTCGAAATATCCGTAAACTTCTGCCAGGCTACATAACATCACATCCAAGACTGCAGTACTTCAAACAGTTGGGACTTCCGAATGTTTGTTTCTTGAGAGCTGAAACAGCCGTTTTGATTGGATTTTATTTCCGCAGAGGGACCGTTGGTGCTCTAAATGATGTATCAAGGAAAGAGACTAGGAGACCCGGAAGAAACTCACAGACTAGTTTCCTACTGCAAACATCTCTAGTCACACAGATGTTTTACGTTTACTGTATTTTATTTTTGTTTTGTGAAAAACTTAGTACTTCAATTGTACGCTAGGTATTTCAGTAGATATAGTAACTGGCTACAGGCTGGACGGGCAAGGAATTGGGTTTCGACTCCCGGCAGGGTCAAGACATTTTTCTTTCCCCCCACAGCCTCCAAATCGGAATTTGGGCCCAACCAGCTTTCTGTCCAGTGGGCGCAGGGGGTTCCCTATTGGGGGGTAAAACGATTGGAGTATGGATCTAACCACTCATTTCCATCTAGTACCCAAGTTCAGAATTTGTGGAGCTATACCTTCACTCCCCCATACGTCATCATGGCGTAATGCTTAATTAAGCACAGGACGATTATTTTTTTACCAGCTTAATATCCTTATTTTAAGAATTAAAAGTAGGCTTATGATATCACCATGCTGTCTGTGTATCTCCATCCCTGTTATCAACCTTTGAATGGCTGAACCAATCTGTATTAAATTTGGAATGTGTATCATGGCACGTGAGCCCAGCAGCTACACCATAAATCCCTCCCATCGGTCTGTATGTGTATCCCTATATCGTTGCTAGACACCGGCTCGGTAAAAACGTTACTGCGGCAACGAATTGTTGGACGAATCGTTTTCTACACGATTCATATCGAATCAAAGAAAAGTACGTGATTAGTTCTTCACAGAACTTCTTGTTATCTCTGTAGATCTGATGTTCTAGACGATGCTGATTAATACCGTTCAGTCTGGTAGCAGACTACACGGTGTCATCTCGAGAGGCTAATATGACGCTTGTAAGTTGTAATCAGACGTGTGAATGTATGTTTCCTGCGTTGTAAATTGTCAGTACAATTTATGTACGTTAAGTTCGGGTTTTGTGTCATGTGCCTAACTTCGCCGACAAGCGGCGGTCGCTCGGTCGGTATAGTTCGCTTGCGGACTAAAATCACGGAATTTTGTATGATGTGCTCTACATCTGCTAACTCTCTGGCGCCAGAATTTAAAGGTTCAATGTCGGTAACAAACGCCTACAACTAGACACAACCCTGAAACAGTTTATTCCACCTATCCTCACAACTTACGAGTATATTCCTAAATTATAGCGCAATGTTTTCCTTCCACTTCTTACTTGGTCTTCCAAGTAGGTATTTTTCAAAGTATTTCTTAAATCGCCAATAATCCTGGATTTAAATCAATCGTACGTCGCACTACTGGCCTAGTTAAACTTTGTAAAAAAATTATGAGGTTCTTCATAATTTAAAAGGGGAATTAACATGTGTGTGAGTAAAGTTAACTTGGAAATTGAGAACCGACAAGAGTGGTAGTTACATAATCGGTGAAAATAAATTTTCTGTTTTGGATTTGAAGTTCTCACGGGAGTTACTATGAAAGTCCAGTATAACCGAGTTGTTTGGAGACAGCCCGGCGTTTCGGAGGAAAATATCGCCTTCAACTTCAGTGTCGAAAAAGAAGCCAAGCAAGAAATCATACAAAGCTTGCTACCTGCTTCATGTTGGCTTCTTGCGTGGCTTATTTTTCGACACCGAAGATGGAGGCGATATTTCCTTCCGGTACGTTGGGTAACTATCACTGGACTACACGGCGTTAAATCCCTGAATCGTATTACTCTTCTTAAATATAAGAGCTATCGCTGTAACACTCCGTGGAGGCCCACAGGGTTGTGAGACGTCGAGGCTCCCACATTTTCCAGACAATCTGCTCACAGATGGAGGTGAGGTTAAGTAAAGCTATCCCTGTAACAGACCATGGAGGCCCATTGTGAGACGTCGAGGCTGTCACATTTTCTAGACAATCGGCTCACAGATGGCGGTAAGGTTGTCAGCAGCTGGAAATATTAGGACAATTAATAAACCTAGTAACTTAATCGGGGATCGAACCCGCAACCTTCCGGCTTGGAACATAGTGCCTCAACCGACTACGGTACCTCGTGCCCCTAACTGAATTCATTTTAAACTTAAGAAAGAAGGACAGGATGAAATATTTGCAAAATTGAGGGGGGGTTCCCATTATGTAAAGTTTGGAAACAAATGTCAACACATTCTCTTCTGTTTTCTAATTGCTAGTGGGGTGGGACTAAGTCCCTTGTACTGCGGCAGCTTCTGGCCTATTGTACCAGCCCCAGATGATAGGTGAGGGTGATTGTGGAGCAACTGGTGGAATGAAGATTGGCAGGGGAAACCGAAGTACTCGGAGAAAACCTGCCCTAGCGCCACATTGTCCACCACAAATCCCACTTGATCAGATCCGGGATCGAACCCGGGCCTCCGCGGTGGGAAGCCAGCGACTAACCGCTTGAGCTATGGCCCGGCCTTTCCCTTCTGTTACGACTTGTGATAGGGACACCGGCAAGTTTTGTAGTAGGCAGCCTCGCAGAACACTTAGAAGGGCAATATGTAAATCATTGAGGAAGGGGGTAGAAGGAGAGGCTACAATTCGACCCTCGACGTGCCAGTTCACAGATATGTGTATATATATATATATATATATTTGTGTGTGTTTGTAAAATGAAAAGTGTGGCGAAAAGAACATTTCAAGCAAACATGTCACTTCCTTGGGTATCTGAAAAAGAAAACCTTGAGCAGTATTCAAGAAGCACTTCCTAAATTCTGAGAACATCGGTTTATTGTTTGTTTTCCCCATGCTTTTCCTCAGGTGCGTTGTTATTATGATTACTTGTGAGATTCTGTCTTTTGTCAGTCACTCAACACTTCCTGTCGTCGCTATGTTTATTCTGA